ACTGCACTAGTGATATGGCCTCAAAAAGCCAGCAGCCAATGGGTTACAATCACCCACCTACACATTTCTCACTCATTCCATCACTCATCAAGGCTATACAGTACTCACAACTATTCAAGCTTAAGAAATATATGGCCTTGATGGAAAGGAGGCAAAAAGAGAAAACAAATATGCTAGACAGAGGGGGAAAAAAAGCATGCTAGACCCTGAAGCCCAGGAGGTTTGGTGAGTCTTTCCATGTGACACAAAAGCAGAGTGCAGTAATGATGGGACACTAGGTATAGTGTCCACTGTGGCAACAAAAAATACAGGGACCCCCAAGCCAGGGTATGTCCAAGAGGCAGGATCAGGGAGTGACAAAGGTGAACATACTCTGGCTTTTGGCATGTAACAGTTTGGGGTGACAACTGCTTAACTTCCAGCAAAGCGGTCCCGAGATCATCGTTATCACGCCCTTCCATATGAAGACTCATAGGCCCCGTCTGCAGCCTTGAGTTTTCCCATGATCAAATAGGATATGGTCTGACAGAATCTCGAGCTTAAAGAGACCTCAGGGCCATCTCGTCCAGCCCTCTCCCCAGACCAGTCTTGGTTCACCACCATTCCTGTGCCTAATGGACACCCGCGTAGAGCTCAGGCTCTCAACACATTTGTCTGTGTTTTGTCAAGTTGACAAACATCTAAACTTTTCTCCCTAGGGCCACAGCAAAGAAGTAACCAGGTGTGTGAAGATATATGAAGAAGGTGACCACTTCTGGAAACAGAAAATCAGGACAGTATAAAATGAAGACTTAAATGCAAACAACTACTAATAACTCATGTGGGAAAAACCCCTGGCTCCTAGCTTCAGTCTGGCCCAGCTCTGGCCGCTGTAGCCATCTGGGAAGTGAACCAACAAATGAAAAATCTCTTTCTCTCTGTAACTGACTTTCAAAATAAATAAACACATTTTCATTTTAAAAAAATTGAAAGGTTCAACAGTAGAGAACTACTGCATGCAAGTATCATGGGGGTCAGCGTAATCGCTGTGTGGTTCTCCAAAACACAATGAACTCTTCGTCTCTAGTCTTGATGGGAATTTTCCTTAAGCTGTTCGTGGCCTGATACACAAGTTCTTGGTGATTCCTATTCTATAGAGACCCACTGGGCCTGGGGATTCCTCCGGTCTGTGTAACCAAAGTGTGGACATTGGGTGGGCGCAGTTCTTTTGTCCTCTAAATGCTGTTTTGGGATGATGCAAAAGGCAGAGCTAGCTAGAAGCGGGAGAAAAGCATTGCCCAATGGTGGCCAAGCACATGGCTCCTTGTACCTTGTGCTCCTTGTCTATTAAAGTGAGGATCAGCCAAGCATTGCCAATTGTTGTCAGGTGACCTCTTGGTCATGGGTAAGAAGGCCTCCATGTCTCAGTCCCCTGGATGGTCAGCAACTCGCAGAAAGTGAGGATCAGAGGTGACGGTGGTGTGATGGCTGGTGGTATTTCTCCATGCTTCCTCCTGTAGACAGACTGTTACACATTGAATTACATCCCTTCCAAACTCATTGCAGTCGCCACCCCGGAGCCTCAGAATGGGGCATCATTTGGAAATGGCTCTGTCCAGTTTCAAGAACAGCAGTCTCACTTTAGAACGAGTGCCAGGTGGCTGAAGCCCTCAGGGAGCGTCCCTGCTGGCCACCTGCTCAAGAACCACTTATACTGAGCGCAGCCCTGATCAAGCTCCCTGAATTCTTGGCAATGTCACTGATCAGAATTCGTTTTCCAAATCTTGGTGTTTCCCTGTGCTAGGCACCCAGGCTTTATTTTCTCAACTTAAACTCTCAGGGCTTGAATCCCTGTTATGGAGGTGACTGGAAGGCAAATGAGCCGTCTTGAGGCTATTCTCAGTGTGACCTCAAGCATGTCACATGTCCAATCTCAGCACCAGGCAGGAAGAAGAGCTGGGGAGGCGGGCTGGAGAATGGAGCGAGCAAACTTCTTCTGAGGAGCCTCAGCCTGCCTTCATGGGAAGACTCAAATGTGAACTAGGTGATCCTTGCCATAACACCCTGGGCTGAAAAACAGAATTGTTAGATCCTGCCCACCTGCCTCTTCAAGCCTAACCCCTATACACACGAGGTCCTTTAAACAAATCCCACAGTGTAGAGGACATCCTTGTCGCCGCCCTGCAGTGACACTAAAATGATGAGGAATCTCGAGGGCCTGGAAAAACGGGAACCGCCACCGCAACCGGCACACACAGCAAACGACCACACAAGAAACGCACAAACGAGCGAATGAACAAACACACAAACGAGCAAACGAACAAACACACAAACGAGCAAACGAAAAGACGGGCGAACGAACAGACAGGAAGGCAAACCAAAAGGGGCTTAATTGCCGAAAGCCGGCTGCTTATATACAGTTCTCCACCAATCACTTCTCCCCGTGGGTCCACTTGGCGCTATCTGATAGGCCAGCAATCGCAGGGGGTGGGCATTAGCCTATCCCTGTGACTTCCTGTTTGCCCACTGGGGGACAAATCCCGCCTCCTGGCCAGCCGCCATCTTGTGACTGCCTAACATACACGTGGCGTCCGCCGCTCCCCACACATCCTGTCTGCCTCCATTTCTGATGAAGGTCTGAAGGAACTTCAGGGAGTTCATGGGGAAATGAAATTAAACATGAAGTTTACTGGGGTGCAAAAAAAAAGATCCTCACATCTGTGAACCATCTCCTCTTTTCCCAAGAACTGCTTGAAGACCCCCTTGCGTTGATGAAAAACGGCATTCACGTCAAGTTGGGTAGTACAATGCTATATTCCCTTGGCCTGGGTTTTCCCGTGGAGAGCCGCTTTCCCTTTCTTTATGATCGATTATCAATTGGCCGCAGCGACTCTTTGATCTCCTCTTTGATATGAATGCCACCCACCCTGTTTGCCCCAGCCAGACTGGCCATGTCTCTGGGACAGTGTCACAACATGTAAACTGACTGTCTGAGAGCAGAGGGCTCCTGGGGCCAGCCTCCCTGGGGCCTGTGAATTGTCATTCCTGGAGTTGTCTGTTCTGTAAGTTCTGCTGCCAAGCTTCTTTGGGAGCCGAGGCATCATTTTCTCCCTTTTCAAAGAGCGGGGTGAGCTGAGGCCTCGAGCTGGCAAATCCTTTAAAGTCATTTTCAAAGGAAACCTGAGCTGAAAGGCCATGCGGCTGGCAGAGGGTGGCAGGACTCGTGGAGGTTCTCTGGGGCTTTGGGCGCTGGGCTCCCCAAAGCTTCCGGCAGCGTGCTCAGAGCCTGCGACAGGGGCACTGCCAAAGACACCAGGAGCCAGCCAAGCCCCACCCCCAGCCCACTCCTCAGGAAGCAGCTCCTGGCCTCTCCCTGGCGCTGGCCACCAGAGCCCTGCGTGTCCTCCCTGTTCTAGGTCCTGCCAATCAAATGGGATCCTTGGGGTTTCATGAGGTCAAGTGAACCCAGGTGCCAAAGCAAGCCAGGGAATTGGGGCAGGGGAGGAGGGGAATATGTGCCTTGATCATGAGGTCATCAGGGTTCTAGGGAGCCCAGGCTGCTTGGGGACATCTCGGAAAGGGGAGCCAAAGGGGACTCCACTGTCCCAAGTCCCTAGGACAAAAGGCAAATCTAAGCGGGGGGGTGGGAGGGAGGAAGGGGTTGGCTTATCTCCCAGCTGTTCTGAGCTACTGAGGGCTTTTAGTCACGCAGCAGACCCCAGAGAGACTCCAAGGCACTGAGGCTGAGGCATGCAAGAGTGATGCCAGAAGCCTTTCGACTGTCCCCTGGAGCTGACCAGACACAAATGGCTTATGAGAGCAGAAGTCTTCTCCCTTCACAAACCAAGCCACCTGAGGCCCAGAGGAACAACAGAGCTGAATAAAATGAATGTTGGGAGAGCAACAGCTGAATACACTGAAAGCTCGGCCTAGAGCTGCATGGGGTTCAGGGGGTACCCCACCTGATTCCCTCATATTCAAGGTGTAAGGAGTTATTCAAATATCCCACCCTGGACCTGGCGCCATTTCCTCTTCCTCACAGTTCAGGAAATTCACGCCACAGCCACCAATCACATGTAACAGGGCATTTCACCTGGGATTCCCACCCCCCATCGCAGCCCCTTCCCCAACCCTACCCACTTACCAATCATCCTTAGGATATGAACTGTAACGGGTCTCAGGCACCAATCCCCTGGGGCCTGCCCTCATCCCTCCCAACCCCTGCCCCCCCACACCTTGTGGGCTCACCTGAATGGCATCAAAGTGCCCCCAGGTGCGGCTCTTCCTCTCTCTTCTCCTTCTGGCCTCCCCGCCTCCACCCCCTTCTCTCTCCCTTTCTCATCTCCCACCACCTCCATCCCATTCCTGCCCCGCTGGAATAAACTTTCTAAAGTACCTTGCCGTGTCTGGTGCTTTCAGCTCACAGTAAAAAAAAACCAGGCTGTGGGAATTAGCTGTGCATAAAAACCTAAGAACTAGAACTTTAACTGTTTTAAATAACTGACAGGAGGTCTCCTGTCCACAGTGTGCTTTCACACCAGGAGCCCCGTGCAAGTCCACACCATGCTGCCAGGAACCAGCCGCAGGCAGGGCTCCCGGAGCTCATCACGGCAGCCTCTCCCTCCAGGTGTGTTATGTGATCCGGTGGGGAGAGTGGCCCCACCAAGAGTCCCTTCCGGGCCAGCGTGGTCGCACAGATGGTTATGCTACTACTCACAACACTGGCATCCTATGCTGAAAAACTGCCTTGAGTCCTGGCTGTTCCCTGCTAAAGTAGCTGCGGCAGCAGTGGGAGATGACCCCCTTGGGGCTCCATCACCCCAACGGAGCTCCTGGCTCTACCTTGTCTAGCCCCACCCAGTTCTGTGGCCACTTGAACAGTGAATCAACACAAAGCAGATCTCTCTTCCTCTCTCTGTTTTCTCCCCCTCTCTCTCTATAACTCTTTCCAATAAAATGAATACATCTTTCAGAAAAAGAAACCATTGCAACACAAGGAAAAACCTCCAGAGCAGGCCATCTTGACTTTTCTGCATTTTATTCTTATATTTGTACAGCTCTATTTTACAACGCAGTAATGCAGTTTAGACACAGCCAAACCCTGTCTCCGGAGTAGTTATAACACAAGCATGACGCAGAATGGGATGAGACAAACATTCCCAAAGAGAGTTTTGTTAGTGACAACTTCAAGTCCCTGTGTCTGCCTACACTTCCAAAAGGGATAGTGCACACTCGCCCATCACTGAAAAACTTCTGTGAAAAAAGGCACCAGGAGGACATGTGGTACAGGTATATACAAACCGAAAACTAGAACAAAATTACACAGTTTTCCTTCTGCAGCTTTTTTTATGTTTTTTTTTAATACACACTTTGTAAATTGTAAACCTTCACTTGCAAAAAAATACAAATACACTGAGGCATTTTAGACAAAATATTTTCTTACTTATACAGATGCAATACTTAAAATAGTCTCTTAAGTGCTCTTTCTCAATAAAGATTCTCAGATCCGTGTCTGCCTGCAGATACAAAATCGAGCCTTTAACGCAGTTTTATATTTTTAATATATCTTTTTTAGGTTTATATATATTTATTATATATATATTTATATATTTACAACTCTGCCATATATTCCTTCACCTTTGGTTAAAAAAATTAAAGCCCTCTCTGATAACATACTGAAGTCTTGTCTTTGAAAAGAATGCACATTTCCATACAAAAGAAACATCTGTTCCCACAAAACATACACATTCCTCATTTTATAGACCAAGTCAAGTCAGAACTTCGCATACTCCCCCCGCTCTGCTCTAGAAAATGAGTTTGCTCTGTGCTGACGTGGCTTGCCTTACACATGGGAGCAGAAGCAATATTATTGTCTTAATGTGGTATGGCAGTGGGGTTGGGGAGCCGCCTGGCTCCCGGCCCCTGGCCCCGCCCCCCACCCCCACCCGCAGCTATGATTTGCGCTAGTGGATGAAAAGAGGCACTACGTCATGGGGTGACATCGCGGGAAGTGTTACAGTATCCTTTGGGCAGGTTCTGCGCAGGGGCTGGAGACGGAAGCGCGGCACTCCATGCTTTAGCAGGCTTTGGGCAGCTCCGGAGGCAGCTCGGTGGCCGACACGCGGTATTGTACCTTGGTGTTGGTGATGGCGCCGTGCTTCTGGCGCAAATGAAGTCGCAGCTGGCTTTTGTGACGGAAATGCAGGTTACACTTCTCGCACTGTGGGGACACCAAGAGGTCAACTGTCAGCCATGGTCAATCCAGACCTACACGCCAGCTTCCCAAAGGTCAGCATCAAGAGCCCCTGTGTGAGTCCCTGCCTCTACTAGCAGGCAAAGAAAGACACATACTGCTTCCGTTCCTTCACTGACTTCCACAGGGTCTCCCTCGTCCTCCCCTGATCCTTTGTCTTCCCCTGCCGTGGGCCACAAGCTCAGGTCTGATCCCAAATGCCATTCAGACTGCAAGTCCCCCTATTTATTCAAGTTTTCCTGAATCACTCTATTGTGAAAATAATTCCTTTCCTCTACACTTCAGTAAGATCTAAGCTTGCCACACAGCTCACTGGTGCACATCACTTGGAGGTCAGTGACCATTCACTAAACCCTGTCATCTCCCCACGATGGAGCAGAATCTACTCATCGTGCAATAAATCTGAACACATTTAGACAACTGGACTAGATGTGTTGGACTTCATGAAGTGTTCTGTGCAGTTCTAGGCTTCCTAGGATGACAACATCCTATAGAAGTTAAAGAAGCATTAGCAATTATACTATCCTCACAGGCATTCAATAAACGGTAGGAAAGCTACTTAAAAGTAAAATGGATAAACAAATGTAATGGAGTTATCTAGATGAGATCCTGGATCCCAAATCAAGGGACTCATGATGATACATCAGCTCTGGTCCACAGTTTCTAATCACTACATAAAACTACAGTAAGACACTAACACCACAAGCAACTGGGTACCTGTAAGAACTCTCCATACATCATCAACTTTTCTATAGTTCTAAATATGCTCTATATTTAAAGCTACTATAACACATGCTCAAATGGAGAATTATTTAAAGTGAAAATAGACTTAGTAAATAAATGAAACAGGCAGCAGTCCAGCTAAAGAGGCCTGGTCTTGTTTCCAGGTCACTTGCTGCTGTTTGGTCCCAGCGCTCATCATCTCTCTGGACCTGGACTCTGTAAGGGACTGGGCCAGTTAGACAGTGAAGATCATCCTTCTCTCTGACACTCTATGCATCCAACATTCCAGTAAGTCCTGACAATGGAAATGATTATTGCATTCCTAATAGTGCATGTTGATGATTTATGAATACTATCCTTTCAGGAGGCAGGCACTATTCTGAGATTTGTTTTATAGATGAGGAAATAACAAGAATGGTCACTGATTTTCCCAAGAAGCAGCAACCAGGAAGATGAAACTCACTCAAAGCCTGACAAACAAGTGAGCAAAAATGACCACGCATTTTAGGCTAACACCCGGAATAGGGGGTAGCCCCACACTGATCAGTTCTTTTGCCTGTCACCTTCTGAGGTGATGCCACAAACCCTTCAACGTAGCACCAGGCAATATGTGGACCAATGAGCATGGATACCTGCAAAGTTCCAACGTTTCACTTCCAGACACTGGACTTGAACTGTTCTACCATTTGTGCTCAATATAAAAAACCCACTGTTTGCCTATGAAACAGTCAGAAGTTGGGTTCACAGGCTGTAGTTGCCAAGACCCTGCTCTAGAACATGACCATTCTAGTTGTGCTACACAGCTGAGCCCATCCTCTTCCTTGAAATAATCTTATCTCTGTTTATCTTTTCTTTTTAACATCCCCCTCCTTTTTGTCCCTGGTTCTTCTCCTACTCCTAAGACTGTTCCTTCTCAATCACCCTAACTATTCTCAAATACACCTCCAGCTCAGTGTAGTTGGAGGCACTCAGCAATACTTGTACAATAAACAAATACCTCTGAAATCCCTAGTCTGGACTCCTTTCCCAAGGACCTGTACCCTCATTTTAAAGAGAAGCACACTGAGGCCTGGGCCAAGGTTAGGCAAGGTGCCTTTGACAGATTCTGATCCAGGGTCTACTGACCATTAGTTCAGAGGCCATTTCACTATGTGCTGGAGATTGGAGTAAGCAGTACCCTGCTTTCAGCCTCTCCCTCCCGCCTGCCCAGGCCAACCAATTGCCACGAGAGGGTTTACATACATGGTAGGGTTTCTCTCCTGTATGGATTCGCAGGTGGCTCTTCAGAGTCTGAAGGTGCCGGAAGCGGGTGCCACAAATTTCACAGGGGTAGGGCTTCTCACCAGTGTGGATAAGCACATGGGCACGCAGGTGGGCCACCTGAGGAGAGGGGCAAGGCATAAGTGCCTGCGGCAGGTGGGCTGCAGGCCTCCGGCAGCCCCTCATGAGGCTACAGCACCCTAGGGATCCTCTCCCCACACTGCCCTGCTCACCTGCACAAATCGGGCTCCGCAAGTTTCGCATTTGTATGGCTTCTCCCCAGAGTGAATTCGAGTATGGGTTTTCAGGTTGGCCGGCCGGTTGAACTGAGCTCCGCAGATGTTGCAACGATAGGGTTTCTCACCTGTGTCCAGGGGAAAGAGGCCGAAGGAAGGTCACGGTCAGTGGGGAAAGTCTCCACCACCCCTCGCCCCTGCACTTCAAAGCAAACTGTCCCTTATTAAAGCTACTGGGCTTTTTTTCCCTTCCTACACCTCTCTCACACATCAGCACATCCTGCAGGAAACTAAGGCCAAGACACAGGCAGTGGCAAGGTGCAGACACAGGCTGGGCACAGGAGGGGATTGGCCACGTGGACAAGTCCCTGTCCTTCTTTAATCCTCAGTTTCCCTCTCTGGACCCAAAGGGGCTGATGAAATGAAATGACCCTGGAAGGCTCTTGCAGCTGTTCTTGGTGCATAAGTGTGATTCTATCAACAGCTTTCTCACTGCAGATACAGGCAGCTGCGCCACTCTCTCTTTCAGAACAAACACCCGTTTCCACTTGTGCCAATGACACTGGATTCCAGTGGCACAAGGCGGGGCCCAGGCAGAGGAAGCCAACAGTCTGGCCGAGCCTTTCCCCATGGAAAGTTTCTGGGACAATGAAGTTATCAAAAGCATTCAGGCAAAGTAAACCCAGGGCAGCCATAAGAGGATGGCAAATGGTTTGGTAAAGCAGTGGATGGGTGACAAGGAACAAGTCCTTGGAAGGATCAAGAGGCCCCGAATGTTCTTCTACCTTTATCAAAACCTAACCCACTTTGCCTCTAACAGGCCTCACTTTTTCTCTGGTATAGCCAAGGCAGGGCATCTGAGAAAGACAGGCAAGGAACCCAGGAAGCGAACAAGGTGACAAGACAGAGGAAAGGTCTTCCTTCGGGCCCGGAAGGGGTCTGCTCCCTGCCTTACTCAGGGTTCCCACAGCCATCCCCGTCATTCTCCAGGGTCCTCTCCCTCCTGTGCCTACAAGAATGCTGCCGTGGGCTGCGGCTATACCTGTGTGGACGGTCTTGTGGCTGGCGAGGTTGCCCTTGTAACGAAAGGAAGCCTGGCAGCGGTCACACTTGTAGGGTTTGTCGCTGTGGGTTTGCAGTGTGTGCCGCTTGAGGGAAGCCTCCTCAGAGAAGCGGCAGTCACACTCATTGCAGAAGAAGGTCCCGTTCTCTGTGGGATGGAACAGGAGATGCCATTGTCAGAAGGCAGAGTCGCTTGGAAGTCCCTCTCTCCCCTGGAGCTACTCCACCATCCCCTACCCAACTGAGCCCCCAGACCACCTACCTTACATCCCCAGGAACCCCAAGCTAAAGACCCATGGGGAGTTGATTTTTTTCTTAGCATTTAAAGAAAAAACACAGAACAAAAGGGAAGCTCAACCCCAAAATTCTCCCGGTACTTGCATAGCTTGAGGGAAGCTCAGCAGCTCTGCCCAGGGCTCTGAGCACAGACATTCCTCGCCAGCACCTAGTTTAATTTCTATTCCAATGGTAAGAAGGTTCCTGAATCACTCCCTGTGCCTCTGTTACCAAAGCCCTGGCTACTTTATGGGGGCATCTCACATCATACAAGACCAAACACAAGTTCCAAGTTCATAGGGCTGGCAGGCCCAAGGTAGTTCAACTGACCCTCTGTGATCATGGCAAGAGGAACTTGAGATGAGCCAGCACTCCATGGTTACCTTTGCACCTAGGTGGACTTCCCCTCCCCGCAAAACTCTGGGATGACTGGACAACCAGAGGTGATATTAGGATCAGAGGCCCAGACAAAAGGAATCTAGACAAATCAATGACAAACAGCCAGGGGGACAGGAGGAACAGTCCTGTAACCCCATGTCAAACCTCCTAGTATGGACAAGTAAATTATTTTTTTCCATTGCAAGGATTGGCAAATGACATATTGTGGTGATTTATCCCTGATTAGGGAATCCTGAGGCACAGCCAGTAATGGATTAACAGACTTTTTCATCTATTTAAGAAACAAACAAATAAACAAACAAACAAAAAAAAAAAACAAGAGAGGCCAAGCACTATCTAGAAACTTGAATTTACTAATTCAGTTAAAATAACTTAACCCAGCCAACATATACTGAGTCCTGCCACAGGCTAGAGGTTTATCAGGAAGAATAAGGTCCCAACAGGGAGAACCAATCGATGTGCAAATCAGTAGCAGTAGTCTGGGGACAGAGAGATTGAGATGCTCTGGAGTTCTAGCCAGCTGCACAAGCTACCATTGTGGAAAAATAAAAAAGATCCACAGGCTGTTTGGTTTTTGTTTGTCTCCCCAGATGAACCCTACAAGCTCAGTCCTAGCTTAGGTCAGCCCAGTTCCCTAAGAGGTAAAGAGTCAGGGGTTTGGCTGACAACTTCCGAGCATCAACCCCTGGGGCCCACAGGGTGGTTCTCCTCTTCCCTGGTGCTTGTGGGGGACACATGGAGGGGGGCGCAAGGTGGTCTGCATCCTCCCTGACATAGGGACTCACCACAGCTGGAGTCAGAGTACTCAGAGTGGGTCTCGCCCATCTCCTCGGGGAAGGTGGGGCCAGCTGAATGGAGGCACATCTCCGTGTGCTGCGGGGACTGAGAGCCACAGGAGGTGCACTTGGGGGGGTGCATGTAGAGAGGCGAGTGGCTCTCACTGCTGCTACGGGGCGAGCCAGTCAGAGACCTGTGGACAGGAGGACAAAGAGGCTCAGCACTGGGGCAGGACGGACCTGTCCACCCCAGCTCGGTACCACCCTTTCCCCCCTCTGGGCCTCTGCAAGCCCACAAGCCTGGACTGGAATCCCCACTCCGGAGCACTGCAGCCCCAGGTGGGGTTATGAGTGAGGCCACCCCCAAACAGCATGTGCAGAGGGATCACCTACCAGGGTCCAAATAAGCCCAGCTCCCTCACCAAGGCTAAGTGTCTCTCCCCACCTCCCAGGACTTGCAGCCCACAGCCTTTCCAAACCCAAGGAAAGCATGGGTCCTCCTACTGTACCAGGACCACAGGAAGAGGAAATATCTTTGGTATGAATGGAAAGTTCTACAATAAAGGGGAACTTTCTCACCAGGAAAAAGAATATCAAGGCCCAACATACTTCCTTATTTGGGCTAATTTATCCAATTTCCTCAATCCCATGCCCCCCAAAGAGACTCAGTGTTTCAGGTGAGCAAAGAATGAGCCCCAGTGCCTGCCCAGGTACTCCCAACCTCAGATGCAGACTGCCCCTGAAATCACCTGTTCACGATGGTGTTGAGCCGGCTGGCTTGTGGTATGGTGGAGTCCTCCCCAGCGGCACTGAGCTTGGTCGGTGACTGAAGGTCAATGTTTTCAGGTTCCATGGGAGCCTGGCAGGCAGCTGGGGCCGTGTAGGCTCTCGGAGACATGCGGCCCAGCTCAGCCTGCTCTGGCCCCTCTGGCTTGGCATTCTGGTTGAGGTTATTGAGTACAATGAACTTGTATTTCTTCCAGTTGCAGGCTTTGGGGTCAGTGGGGCTCTTGGCTGGAGGGGAGCCCGAGGCCTGCAGGATGCAGGCATTCTTGCTGCTGCAGGACTCTGTGGGCGAGTTGGGCTGGCAGTCAGATTTCTGGGGGCTCTGTGGACTGACAAGTCCTTTCCGGTTCAAAGGAGCATTAGGGGGCTCGAAGTGCAGTGCAATCTCATCCTCTGAGGAGGGCCTCTCTTCTTCTTTGCCAGCTTTGTCACAGGGGAAGTAGGGGACATTCCGGGCCGAGGGAGCAGCCGGCTTGGGTCCCTCAGCCACGCTGTAGTGCATGTCACTCCGGGCCTCCTCTGGCACTGCCTCCTTGGGTGAGTAGATGCTGTTGTGGCACATGCCAGGAGACACCTCCAAGGCCGGCCGGCTGTACTCTGCAGGCATGGGCCTGGCACTGTCGCAGGGGAGCGTCCGCTCCTTAGGAAAGGGGTTGGCCATGGGCATCCGAGCATCCCGGAGCTCCTCATCAGAGAAGAGAAAGCTACTGACAGGCAGGTGGCTGTACATGGGATAGGAGGCTGGGGGTGTGGACAGGCTGCCGTAGAGACTGGGAGCAAAGCCTCGGCTCTCACAGCCAGGGGCGTTCCTCAGCGGCAGGTTGTTCTCCACCACCTCCCGGCCCCGGTAGGCCATGAGGTCTTGTGGCATGAGCATACGGCTGTTGAGAAACTCGTCACGAGGAGGCTTGAGGGCAGGTACCATTTCTGCTTCACTGTAGCCAAAACAAAAAAAAAAAAAGGAGGGGGAAGAGAAAAGATCTCATATTAGCACTGCTAAGCAGACACCTTCCCAGCAAACCTGCTAGGTAGGTGCACCTGCATTTGAGGCAGAGGGGTACAAGGACTGTGGCTCTGGAGAACAGAAACACCAGAATGAAAGGGTGCAAGCTGCAGGTCCTATTTGGTAGTGCAGTAGATTAAACCTTAGCTTGTGATGTTGGCCTCCCATATCAGAGTGCTAGGCTGAATCTCAGTTGCTCTATTTCCCATCTAGCTTCTGCTAACAAAACTGGGATAGTAGCAGAAAATGGCCCAAATATCACCTACCACCAACGTGGGGCACTTGGATAGGGTCCTGGGCTCCTGTCTTCTGCCTGGTGCAGCCCTGGTCATCATGGCCACATAAGGTGTGAACCAGCAGATGAAATGTCTCTATTTCTCTCACTTTCTATCTATGTGTGTGTACGTTTCCCTCAACCCACCCCTATCACTCTGACTTCTATATAAGTAAAATCTTTAATTGAAAAAAAAAGACCCAGTGCAGTAGCCGAGTGGCTAAAGTCCTCACCTTGCAGGCACCGGGATCCCATGTGGGCACCCGTTCGTACCTAAGCTCCTCCACTTCCAATGCAGCTCCCTGCTTGTGGTCTGGGAAGGCAATAGAATATGGCCCAAAGCCTTGGAACCCTACACCGGCCTGAGAGACCTGGAGGAAGCTCCTAGTTCCTGGCTTCGGAACGGCCCAACTCCAGCCATTGAAGCTCCAGCAGATGGAAGATCTTTCCCTTTCTCTCTCTTTCTCTGTCCTCTCTCTACCTCTCTCTCTCTCTCTTTTCTCTCTGTAAATCTGACTTTCCAATAAAAAGAAATAAACCTTTTAAAAAAAGAAGTCTAGCAATCTAGTTTACTAGGGAACACTGAGCTAAAAAAATGGAAGTGAGCCACTTACAGATTTTGTGTCTAATTGGACTGATCTTGGATGCATAAGCATACTTGTACATATACAAACATGTGAAACTATAACTCCTCCAATGGGATACAGCTTAATGCTTACATAATACATTCAAAGTCCTTATCTCATTTCACCCCTACAAAATCCTACAAGGAAGGCAGGTAGTATATTCTGCATGATGCAGGGAAACAGAGAGGGAAGAATTGATGCAGCATTGGTGCCACAACATTACACACCCAGTACACTAAAAATAAAGGACTTGCCCATATTCCGACCGGAGTTATGAGAAAGCATACAATGGAGAGCAGGCAGCAAATGCCAGGGTTCCACAACAGCCAGACCTGGTTTGTAACCCCCGTATGCCTCCTCATGGTTCCTTGACTTGCAGCAAGTTACTGAACCAGTCAAGTTTAAGGTCTGATCCATAGAAAGTCCTCATCAGTGACAGCAATAATGAGCTCATGGCCGTTAGCATCCACAGGTGACAAGGAGAGCTAGTACACATATTTGTCAGGAGGGACACTGCGTAGGTGAAAAGCAGCTCAACAGAATCGGAGTGAACAGAGCTAGAACCCATAAGGAAGGCTGAAGGAGCCAGATGTCAACACGTTGTACAGATGGGTGCTCCAAAACTACAAGGTCAGCCTTGGGCTCTGGGAATGGGGAGTTTCTGCCTCTGGCAGTGTTCAGACGTAGACCAAAAACCATTCTGTTCTTGGGGAAAGCATGCAACTGTCCTAGAGCAGTCGGAGCACATGTTTCTCAAGACATTAAACCCTGAGTCTCTGTTCCATTTAGCAAAACTTTTCAATTCTTCGGTACTTTAAATGAGCCTCATGTCTTCCCAGCCCTCAGGTAAGGGGTTTAAGACCCAGTGAACTCAACAACTCAGTAAGTGTCCTCCTTGTAGGAGAGAACAGAGGAGAAGATGACTAAGGCAGAACCAACAAAGCTTGAATCATCCACGATTTGGTAGGAAATCAAGGCAGGTAGGCAACTAGTCACAATAAAAGAGAAAAAAAAGAACTAAAAAATAGATGCTAGAAGGAAGGTTTAAAGAACAGATAAAATCCTTCAGAACAAAGAGAAGGAGCCTGGCTCGGTGGCCTAGCGGCTAAAGTCCTCACCTTGCACATGCTGGGATCCCATATGGGCTCCAGTTCTAATCCCAGCAGCCCCACTTCCCAACCAGCCCCTGTTTATGGCCTAGGAAAGCAGTCGAGGACACCCCGAAGCCTTGGGACCCTGCACCCATATAGGAGACCCAGGAGAGGCTCCTGATTCTTGGCTTCGGCTCGGCTCAGCTCCGGCCCTTGTGGCCACTTGGGGAGTTAACCAGTGACCAGAAGATCTTCGTCTCTGTCTCTCCTTCTCTCTGTATATCTAACTTTCCAATAAAAATAAATCTTTAAAATATGTATATAAAGGCACACAGAGGAAAAGACAAGGGAGGCAGAGTGAGAGCGCCAACCAGAAGAGCTTCCAAGGAGAAGTCAGGATCCACATGCGGCTGTGGAGAAGGGGCGGGAAGCATGGTCCCCCTGCAGGATGGGCGGCGTGGTGGTGAATGGGCCATGGAGAGCAATAAGGTGTCCATTCTGCTTGGAACACAAGCATTAAGAAGGGCAGACGTGCCCAACAACATTGACTCTCGGAAAAGTATTTTTCTGTCTAAATGTGTGAAATATTAAGAATCTATTTTTTTTTTAATTATTTCATTTTGGTGTAAAAGGCAGAAAGACAGAGATAGAACACAAACAGAGGTCTTCTGTCAGCTGGTCCATTACCCCAAAGGCTGCAACAGCTGGGTCTCCCATGTAAGTGGCAGGGACCCAAGTACTTCCTCACAGGGTATTCACTAGCAAAAAACTATATGGAAGGCAGAGCTAGAACTTGAACCCAGCCATTCTAATATAGCAGCATCTCAAACCATTGTACCAAACACCTATGACTACCAAGCATTTCTTGGTAGCCCCTTCTTTCTCCATGCCTTGCATCCAGGTGGCAGCTTACCTGGCCTTGATAAATTTCCGGCAAGTGTCCACAACATGCTCCATCTGCAGGTACATAGCCGTGGCCATTACAGCCATGATGTTGCCTTCCCGCAGGTTGAGCCGAGATGTGTACATGAAGTCCAAGAGGATGCAGAAGCCCTCAGGGTTGATCTCAGGATCCAAGTTGATCACACTGAGGTTACATTTCAACTGATCGGTGAAGATGCTGTAGAACAGGCCACTGGGAAATAAACAGAGGTCCCATTATAAGAGATGCAGAGGGCCTGTGATGGGCTGCAGTCAGCACTGAAGCTCGACCCCTTTCACCAAGGTCATCCCAGAGTTTCTATGACAATTACTAAGACCTGACATGATGCAGCGCTTACCAAATGCCCTGAAAGCACTTTGTGCGCCTCACCCTGTGCCACTCACAGCCCTGAACCTTCACAAATGAGGAAACGGAGATCAGAGAGGCTAAATGATAGTCTTAACTGCATGGATTACCAGAGCTAAATTTAGCACTCATTTGCAGGAACTATTCTTAGTCTGCCTCTTTGGGATAAGCATGTCCCCTCTTGCTCCACTGAAATGTCATTAAGGAGCTTTTTTTTTAGGAGCAGTTTGAGAGTAGCTAACAATTGAATTAAAATGTGCCTGTATCTAAACTCTACTGCTTTTCTCAAAGTCCAGATATTATCAGTTATTCCTAGAAGATGAGTCCAATCTAAAGCTATGCCTGGTGGAAGAATAAAAATTAAATCAAAAACCAGAAGCCAGGAATGTCATCTTGGTTCTACTCTTTCCGGCTAAACTGCCAGTGAGCCAGACTTGTACCGGTAAGCAGCCAGGTGACCTTGAGTGAGACACTTAACTTTTCTGTACCTTAGCTTCCTTATTTGCAAAGCAAGGTAAACAAGCAGTGTCTACCTCATAAGGTGTGGCAACAACGGCCATGGCAAGGGTACAGAATGACAACCCACACAGTGTAAGCATTTACCACATGCTATCTGTTATTTTTGTATTTCTATAAATGCCTGTTCTTGTCACTGTTCAAAAAAAAAAAAAGTGCTTGTAGTAGATGCTGGATAAGTTCTGTAACAGCAATAGAGATCTCAGGATGCACGTCATTCCAGCTCTCAGTGCTGGTATCATGTCTAAGATACGATAGTCATGCTGTCCGTAGTTGCAAAGGTTATTAGGAAGCTCCAGAGAGATGATGTAGTGCAAAACTATTCCAAAAACTTCAAATCCTTCACAAATAGGAGGAATTCACTTGCTTATCTTAACCCTTAAATACACTCTGAACCTTCATGGAAGTTCAATTACAGTACAAAATAAATATAAAACTTGCTCCAACTACAGTAACAGTCTCATTTTTCATTTTTACTGCTTAACTGAAATTATTCTCCACTCTTGCTCCAGATTTCCTTCTTGTGGCAGTATACGATTTCTCCCTCTAATACGTGCAGAATGGGAAGTCTTTTTCTGAAAGGGTGTTCAGCCATTCACTTCCACGGAGCCTGCTATGCCAAGGCCACAGGCTGAGGTCTGGACCAAGAGACACAGCATCCTAGCTATGACGTAAGAACCCTGTGCTCCACCTGCCTGGCTTCTTGCCCTGCCTTTTTCCTTTACCCAACTTCTCCATCCAGACCCCTCACCTGCAGGCCATGAGGACTGTCTTGTGAGCTCTGAACTGCTCCCGGCTCACCACGATGACGACATCAGTCAAGATGTCACGGCTCCGCAGGCGATTCAGGTTGAGAAGTACGTCACTGGCATGGCGAGTGAACTGGATACAGCTGTCAGCCGGTGAGGCCATTTTGTCTTCGCCTGAAAACACAAGAACCAACGTCCTATTAATTCTCGACAAGCTGTTTGCCGCTGACCAGAGAGAGCAAAGAGCTGGCTTAACCTGCTCAGGTATGGAATGTAATTCAGGTCCCTGTGTTTTGTCTTTGAATAACTCATAGCCTTTCTCTGGCCATTACTCTTCATAGCTGCGTGATGAGGTGAATGCTCTGTTTTCAAAAAGTTGGACTAGAAAGCTCTTTAGGGAAAAGGGGACAGGAATGAATACTTGTTGAGTGGTTTTGCCACATACCAAACACTCTGCCAAGCACTGAGTGAGTGTGTTGCAATGGAGAGAGCTCACACGTAGGAAGCTCTCTGGCCGGTGTTGCCCTTTTTCTAGTTGTGTGATTTGGAGCAGAGTGCTTCTGGGCTTCGGTTTTGCAAAACACCTATGTGAGCACAAAAATTAAAAATGCATGCCTCGCCCATAGTGAGGGCTCAGAAGTGAAAGCTTTTCTCATTGACATTTCCTTTCACTGCCCAGTCCTTCTCCACTATGTGGCTTTAGAAAGGTTTCACTTGGAATCCCCAGACCCCAACACTAGCTCATGGCAGTGCATGACAGGAGGCTAACTGAATTTGAACTAAGAAATAGGTAAGGACATGAAACTGCCACAGCCAGGATAAAAGAGTGAGGGCTAGGGGTGAAACAGAAGGAATTGGTTAGCCTTTGTCTCATTTAATGAAGGGTGACAAATACACATGCACTGGCAAATGCAAAGTTTGTCCACAAGATTTCAAAGCATATCATTTGATTGACTCACCCAGTGCCTTGCTTCACAGTCCAGAATTTTGCTTAAAACCTACAGAGAAGAGAAGAGAGCATTCAGAAACAGACTCAATGAGTGTAACACTGTCCACTATAGACTTATTTTAGGACACATGTATTTAGTTTTCGCTTTGATAGCTGCAGCCTGCCAGTTGGTGTGGTTTCACCACAAGCTAGCGAACTTTTTCCACTTCTGCTCTTATGAAAACAACAGGCACCCAAAGCCATGTGATAAAAATGCTTTTATCTTAGGTGCGGAGAATGTAATTTCACACACACACATTTTCCCCTCAGAGTAAAAAATCTGAAATCTGTACCACCCAAAGACTGCTAGAACTTATGGCAAAAAAAGAAACAGGGGGAGGAGGAATACTTCTTTCCACATTAGCACTAATTGATAATAATTGCTTGGGGCCAGAACATATTGGATGCCCAAACCTGCCAGACTATTGTGTTTCACGTCATAGAATAGTTCCATAAGGTCAGAGGGTCACATTCTTTGTCCCTAGTGCCCCAATGATAAAACAGACTTGGGGGGACGTTTGGGTGGCTTTCCAAGGACCAGCAGCCAGGTAGCGCTCCCTGACTGAACCATGAAGTACTGAACATGGAATGTGTGGAGGACCACCTGACAAGCCTGCCTGCACATTCCTGGGGCATTTTTGCTAGATTTTTCAAAGTTTCCTCTCTGCTCCCTCCTGGGCCCAAGACCAGCCACAGGGTTAAGGCATCCAAGTGTGTGCTTCTCCTTGCTGGTGAAAGAATTAACTGTGTAGTTGAGCTGAGAACTGGCCAGCGAGCACTAAACCTGAGATTTCATGAAATATGTTCCCCATATTGGTTTCTCTGAAACAAAATTCATTAGAAGCACAGGTATAGGTCTTTCATTATTATTGACGGAATGTGTGCTACCAAACCAAGCCAGATCAGAACCCTCTGGCCCTATTTTTAAAAGTACAGCCCTGTGGAGTTCTTTTCCGGGTATGAAGGGACCCAAGGCCAGTGAGGTCATGTTAGGCCACGTAGATGGTTGGTGGCCTGGCCCTAGGTCTTCTGGCTCCAATTCCTGTCCCCTTTCCAAATCCAGCCTACGTGCTGTAGAACAGGCTGGGCTGCACCCTTAGGTGGGTGGATCTCATTTCCAAGTTCCTTCTCCCTCACTCCCACCCCAACCCCACCCCCACCACATACACACCTTGCCCCCTTCTAGGGTGCTGCCTGTTACCAAACACTAAAAAGCGAGGTCTCCCTGAATCTAACCAAACGCAGACATTTCTCCGTGGCTCCAAGCGCCTATCACCCCATTGCCTCAGCTTCAAGGTTAACATGTATCCTTGAGTGATGGGAGATTGAGAGGGGAAATGCAGAAAAGGGAGATTGGGGAGAGAGTGCTAAAAAAAAAAAAAAAAAAAGGCAGAAAGAACCAAGATCCTCCTCTCCCCATTCCAGCTGCATAGACGGGTAGAGAAAGACAAACTTAATCCTAAGCAAAGTTCCAGGATGATCCTCTTTGGAAAAAAGAATGCTGAGGACACATGTGTGGTTTATTTGTAAACAATCTCCTCTTCCCCTTCGGAAGAGCTCAGCAAACACTCTGGAGCACCCTGCCTGCCCCCAAAACAGCTTCAACCACCCGTTCACTTGTGGATTTCCAGTCACAGACTGCTGGAACCACAGGAAGCCCAGATTTGCCATTTCACCGTGACAAGTGGCAATGACTCATCCCAGATGCCGACTGAAACAAATACAAAAATTCCCTTGTGTCCACTCTCTGGACCGGGGCTTTTAACCTTCAGCCTCTCACCCCCGGTCGCACAAAAACAGATCTGCATACACGGAGACCCGTGTCCATATGAAATTCACCCTCTTGAACTCTGGTTAAGGTGAGTGCCTCTTGCACGTGAGCAAGTCCTCTCCCTTCACCCAGACCGCTCAGTCCGTTCATACCCTGTCCTTGTAACCTTATCCTTACAACAACCCTTCCTTACTGCTGAGGAAACTGGGGTTCCCAGAGATCAGCCTGAGCCAAGGTCTTCAAGCCAATCTCCAAGCAAGATCCCAAAGCCAATCTCCAAGCAAGGTCCCACACTAATCCCATTTCATTAGTCACAGCCATACCACCAATTCCATACCCCTCCAAGAAAAAATCACCCCACAAAAACAGCGCCAGGAAGGCAAGCCTGCCAGCCAAAAAACTGACAAAGGCTCCAGGCGAAGCCCTAGCCCCTACTCCAAGCCCTGTGAGGTGGCAGCGTCCCAGAGGGAGTTGAAATTTTGTCTCCTGCACCTCACCCTCATCGCCTCTTTTGGGGCTTCCCTAATATATATTCAATCTGACACTGGAGAAGGCAGGTCCTCCAAAGGAGCTTTCCATTGGATCACACACACACACACACACGCGCGCGCGCTCGGATAAACAGCAAAAAGAGAAGTCAGAATAAAGGGGAAAGGAGAGGGACAGGCGGCAATGAGAAGTCGGCATGCTTCAGATGCAGCGCGAAGCCTTCCAAAGACGCCCTCATGTCCTTCCTGCTCCCGGGGTTGGCACCAGGCGGCCCCCTTCTCTCATTCACACCTGAGCTCTGCACGCCGAGGTCAACCTGTGAGGGCTCGTCCCCCCCCCCCCGCAACTTCCCCGACACCATACCTGTCTTCCAGGGACCGCCCACCCCCGTGGGACCCCCGGCCACGGCTTCCCATCCGCCTGGAAGCCCCCACAGGCGCGAAGGAGGTGCGATGCTGTGTCTGAAGTGGCCCTTAATTTAGTTACATTCAAATAAAAGTTTTGGTGCACTTCTGTAGCTAGCATTGTGTGTCTGATTTTTTTTTTTTTTTTCCTGTTACGCCGTCAAGGCAGGGGGCAGTGAAGGGAATGGCACAGCCCTCTCATTCCCGGAACGTAGTCGATCTCAACTCTGAGGATTTCACAGAACACGCTCTGCCCATCGTCGGCTCCAACCAGAAGTAACTTTCCAGGAAGCTGCCGGCCCCCGACGGCCGCCAGGATCGCCGCCTGCTCGGCGCGGACCGCTGGGGGATTCACCCGCCGCGGTGGGGGTGGCGCCGGGGAACACGGCACACTTTCCCCTAAATCCCTCTGCCAAGCCGCTTCCAGGAGTCTCCGAGTTCACTCCTTCCGACCCCTCCCTCACAGTTTGTAAAAGAGGAAATTTAGACGAGTAGCAAAGCCTGGGTCAAGACGCCAGAGTACTGGTCCAATCCGAGGTTCAAGTTGCCCAGTTGCGCAGTGCATCTCTTTTTCTTCTTTTGCTTGCTCCCGTCTTCGCTGCCCTCCCCTCCCCCATTTCTTAAAATGCTAGGGCGAGACGTCGAGGTTAAAGACTTAGAATCCCTTAGAGCTGAGGGTCTCCATCCAGCGCGCCCCAATATGCTTGGAGGAAAACTAAACCGAAAAACCCTTCCGCCACGTTGGCAAAGGAGGACAATCCAACTCCGCTTGGTTTCCGCTCAGAGTCTAGAATACCAACTGCCAGGCCGAACTTGTGACCAGACTTCCAGATTTCGGAATCCAGTTTCCCCCCAGACCTTGGAGACACAGATAGGACCGGCCAGAGGCTAGGGCGCCGACCGGAGCGCGCTCATTGGCGCGCGCCTAAGTTGCCTCGCTATTCGGTGCCCTTCCTGGAAGCGCCAGGAAATATCCCTGGGTGCCATCTCCTAACTGTTCCCGGTAGCTGGCTCTGAAAGGCATTTTCAGGGGTCCTGAGGGGTGGGGGCGGACTGGGGTCGCCTAAGACAGCCTCCCAGGGTAACAGTCTCCTGTTCAAACAAGCGGTTCGCGTCATATCGCGCCGCTCTCCCTCTCTGCGCGAAGGCGGGGTCGAGGTTGGTCCCTCAAATAATCCTCTCCTCTGGCTTTCTCATTCAGAACTCTTTTTCCTGGTAGCCAAAAAGTGAAGGAGAAGGTGGAATTTAATACGGGAGGGGAGAGGGTGAGAATCTGGGAAGCCAGAATTGTCAGTGCCCTTATTGTAAGTCGGCAATGGCGTGGTTCAGGCAGCGCACGGCGGCTGGTGCTTTTACCGCTGCCTGACACTAGAGAGAGCCCTCCTTCCAGGCTTGAAACCCACAGCCCCCTTCCAGCCCCGCCTCTCCTTCCCGTTGACCTAGTTTGGCAAGAGGCTCGGTCTCCTTCCCCCGTCACCCCCACCCCTCCTTCCTTTCCAGGCCGGCCGTTGGATTATTGGTAATCTAATAACTCCAATAACTCGCTGGAAAATGCAAAGGGGGATTTGAAAGTGCAAAGCACTGTTCAGGGACGGGAACCAGGAATTTTAATAAGGCTGGAGCTTCCGCAGTGAAACTCGCACCGCGGCTCCTGGCCCCGACGCTCCCTCGCCCAGCGAGCCGCGTCTTAAGGAAAGAGCAGCTTGGGTCCAGCCACTGGGGTCCGGCCGCTGCGCGTGGCGTTAAACCGCGACATAGCTTTAGTTCTGCCGGGGCGGGCTGGCGGGGGGCGGTCTCTCAGAGCTGTTTGCCTAGGGGAAAAGGAGGTGGAAGAGACTAGATAAAAGCGATTTTTGATAACGCCAAGGCCTCGGCAAACTGCTTTGGGTAACCGAGGTATTCGGGGACATTTTGTCCCGACTTTCATTTCTATCACGTTTCCTGCCAGCACAGCTCTTGCAAGCCTGCAAGCTTCTAGGAAATGCAATAAAATAGAGAGATGTGTTTTATTACCGAGCTCTGAGGGGGAGCTTCAGAAAGGGCCGCTCCCCCGCACACCCCGGCTTGGGACAGCCTTCCTCCAGCAGGCCGGCTGGAAACGCTAACAAACTACGGTTCCCGGGGCAGAGAGCTCTTCTCGGCTTCTCCTGGCTGCGCTCCGGCTTCGGCCTGTGCAAAAAGGCTGGCGGGGAGGAGGTAGACATGAGCTCTCCCAGCAAACAATGCCTTTAAAAATTCGATCTGGACAGAAGTCAGCCAAGGTCTTTATTCACGTTAATGAAGATGGAAGGCACTAACTGTCCTTGGAAGGCGATGAGTCAAACTTGACCGTGCTTCAAACACGTCCCCAGATTCGCTTCCAGCTTGAACAGAGGCGCGTTTCTCCGACGCGGCCTGCAATAGCTCCCGGGGAGACTGGGAGAGGCTGAACTGGGTCCCTGCGGACCCCGGCCCGAGCTAGGCGGGTATGTGGACCTCAGCCTCCGGGCGGGACGGCGCGCAAAGCGCCGCCAGAGGCGCCAACTCGCGGACGCGCGTTTGCCATCTAAAGACCCCAGCCCCGCAGGAGGAGAGTTTGCTGAGAAACTATGGGAGCACAAATGCTGCGAGGGTCCTCTCTTCCTCTCTCTCTCTCTTACACACACCCCCTTTTTTTTCCTAGGCACCTGCACAAACAGGAACGTAAAGAGAGCCATTTCAGCACTCCTAAGGTGGGCTTGGGCGCAACAGGTGTGCGCACAGGGTCTTAGCTCAGACCCCTTTACACAGACACACCCGGAATCTCAGCCCTCAGTACCAGCGGGCTTCTCACGTCTATTCCCGAAAGAACGCAAGGAAAAAAAAAAAAAAAAACCTTAGGTCATTCTTTGTAAACAAATTCTTCCAAGACGGTTAGGCAACCGCTTCTAACGTGCACTGACAACCATGATGACCTAAAAGGTTAAAATCACGACTCTGGCTGCTACTCTTTTCTTTTTTCCTCATAGATCACGTCAAAGGAGTTGAAATAAACTTGCCTTTGACTTTTAAGTCACTAGCCTCGAACTCAGAAGTTTAAAGTTGGCCTAGGTTCACTCACTCATTGACCACTCACCCACAGGCCCCCTTGTCCGGGCCTATTAGTTCAACTGTGACGGGAGTGGGGGGGCAGTAGTTTACAAAAATGGGGGAGAGGTAGCTAAAGTCCTAAAGACCCTGAATTCTCGAACGGGACATCCTTCTACTCCCCATTGCCCCGGGAGGGACGGCAGCAGCGGACAGCCGGTGCGCTCCAAGCGGGTTATTTTAAGTTTGTTTTTTTTTTTTTTCCAGTGGAGGCAGATGCCTGCCACTGACCGAAGAACGTCGCAATGGGTTAGTCGTTTGCATCTGGCCGGGCAGAGCTTTGGGGAATCAAATGCCATCCCCTCTGGGGCACGGGGTGCCTTCCCTCGGTCTGATCTAGCACTTCGCGAGGCTACCAGAGAGCCCAGAGGTGAAAGGGTCGGTGCCCAGGGCTGGACTGCGACCCTTCGGCCAGACGGCCACTAGGTGGCGGGCGCCGTCCGTGGGAGAAGCACCACGCGGACACGGTGCCCCGCCACCAACACACACACTTTTTTTTTTTTCTCCTTGTCTGTTGAAAGTGGGGGTGTGGTTGCCTCCAAAACCCAGACTGGGAAAACACTTAATTTAGTGGCTGGAATTCCGTTCTTCCCGATGCTTACGCCTCTAGCCACCGCATCGCGGTATCTGGAACTGCCTCCGCGAGTTGTGCGTTGACTTGCTTTCCGAAGAGCAGAATGCGCTGGGTAGGCAAGGAAAGGGTGCACTTGTCTTCCACAAAAAAAAAAAAAAAAAAAAAAAAGAAAGAAAGAAAAGAAAAAGCAAAGGCAGGACAGGCCCTCGACGGTCTGCGCCTTGACTCTTTGCAAAAACGCCGGCTGGCCAGAAAAGAAAACCGGGTATAAACTCCAGCTCCCCACCGAGAGAAGGGGGCCCTGGACCCTTGCGAACCCCGGGCCGACCGCCCGAGCCGCAGAGCAGGAAGGCTGAGTGGGGGGACCGAGGTCTTTTGGCCTGGGAGGCGGGGAGGTTGGGAGGAGACGTTCCTGGCTTCCACCGGGGCGAAGAGAAACAGGCCGGCTTTGCCAGAAGCCGCCGCGCGACTGCGTGGCCGCGTCCCACTTGTTGCGCAGCGCTGGAAAGCCGCACTCGCCCCACGGCCCTGACTCCCCGAGGGACGACCAACAGCCAGGTCGACCCCCTCGCCAGCTGCCCACCTGACCCTGCAGACGCTGCCGGTTCTCTACCTCCAACACTAGGGCTGGCTTTCCAATCCAGACATTTCTCCCCATCTGAACGTCAGTTAGGCGGCATCATTCAAGTGACCAGAGGTCAGGTCCAAGGGGGAGACGGACCATCTCCTCGCCAGGAGATCTCGCCTAATCCAAGCCTATGTACACCTCCCACCCCATCAAGTAGTGACAAGCAGACCTCTCCGGCTGGAAAGCAACTTTTTTCGACCTCAATTGCGCGATCACGGCAAAGCGCCTTAAAAAAAAAAAAGTTGTCGCTTCCCTACACTTTTGAAAATCTGTCTGAAAACTTAACAGTGCCCCAAAAGGTCATTTCACAATTTTTTTTCAGCTATTTTAACTTTTGCTAATAGTTGTACCCGCCGAGGGGTGGCGCTGCCGCACCACCTCTTCCCAATCTTAAATTACTAGTATATATGGTGGGTGGTTTGTGTTTTTTTTTTTTTTTTTTTTTCACAACAAAGTAGGTTGTGAATGTGCTCCCCAGCGGAGGATAGAGGGAAGGAAGGATTTTGACATGTGGTCAGGGCTACCATTTACTCAACCAGTTAACTGGAACTCTTGAAGGGCTCGGTAAAAGCAACGAGAGAATTGAGTCCCACCTCTGTTTACCAAACCCTGAGGAAATCAGACAAGTCTTTTCAAGAAAGTATCTGGGTAAAACCCTTCCAAAGTAAGCATGTGAAGAAGCAGACGGTTGGGGAACCCCTGGCTTCCCTGCCTGTCCCCTCCTTCCAGGTGCCTGGTTGGTACCTGCTATCCACAGACCCTTACGGTCTAATTCTGCTGCCCCGCAGCATCGGAAAGTCTTCCAAATAGGACATACTGGAAACTTCTATGTCTAAACAGAGGCAAAGGAACAGTTCTCATCTACAGGTTTCTATTTTGGCCTTGAAGACTCCACTGCAATCTTTTTAAAAGGGAAGCTCCCCTAGCTGTACCCCACCACCACCACCATCACGTTTCCTCCATTGCAGGTATATATATATATACATACATACACGCATAGCAAAAATACCACCTTTTAAAGGGAGAATGTGATCACGCCTCACTCCTTTGAGCTCATGCTTGCTACCTCCAGGAATAGTGTGTGGACCAGGGCCAGATGAACTTCAACTTGGGCTGCAGATTTACGACGATCTATTCCAGTGCCAAGGGCTCTCGGTAGTAAATAGTGAGCAAAATAGATACCTGTCTCTTGATGGATCTCTCCTGTCTCCCCTGCTCTCCCTTCTCTCTCTCTCTCTCTCTCTCTCTCTCTCTCTCTCTCAATTTATTTACTAAAACCACACACACCTTGCAAACAAAAAGGGAAATTGGCAGTCCCTGTAGAGGAAGCCAGCGGCACCTCGCAGAGCCACAAACTGTATTTCTAAACAGCCCTTTCCCTGCGTCTCTCTCTCCTGCCCCACTTTTCCGGACAGTAAAAAAAAAAAAAAAGCATCTACTGACGCTCACTTTACTTTTGTTTTAAACGTTCTAAGACTTTCTTCCCTGAAAATTACAAACTAATTGGGGAGGTGGGGGGGGGTGGGAAACAAACAAGAATACATCCCTCTCCTAGGGTCCATGACTGGCTGTCACAGCTTCAGCTCCGCACGCCCCCCACGCAGTTGTCAGGACCCCCACGGCCCCCTCTGCCAAGTCTTAGCCATCCGGAGGGAGGGCACACCACACAGGGGGTCTTCCGCATCCTTAAAACAAATATCCGTGGGGCTGTGTTGTTTTCCACGGAGGAAGGGGCAGGTTGAAAACTCATGGCAACATTAGTTCCATTTTTCGCCAAGGTTCCAATCACAAGGCAACAGAAAGGCAACGCGACCCACAGTTCTCGAGACAGTTACCGCGGTCACTACCTCCGGCTGCGCGGTGGCCCCTCGCTACGGCTGACCCCCCGAGCGCAGCCCCAGCCCCGGCCCCAAAGCTCCAACTCCCGACCCGCTCCCGCCCCGGGCCGCCGCCGCCGCCGCCTTTCCTTCTCCCTATTCCTTCAAGGAGAGCCACAGGTTGCAAATCCAACCAACCTCGCCATCTGATTTGTTTGTTTTGGGGTTTGGGGTTTGTTTGCGCCATCACAAGGCTCTCCCCCTGGCACCCGCGTCTCCAGCTTCCCCGGGCAGAGCCCCGAAGCGCCCTAACTCCCCTCGCGGCTCCCGCTGGTCAGGAACGCGGGCTCGGGCTCTGTCTTTTTCCCCTCGCGCGCTGTCAGGACCTCGGGCTCTCGGAAGCCTGCCCAGTGCGCCACGCTCAGACCCGCAGTGGCTTTTTTTTCCCCCTTCTTCTTCTTTTTACAAAATAATAATAATAATAAAATGTAGGAAAAGGAGGGAACAGCCATTGGGAGCCAACACAGAGTCACGCAGCGCCCCAAATACAAACGCCGTGGCCGAGAGAAATCCCGCCACCTCCTCTCCGCGCTCGGCCTGCCAAGCTCCCCAGAGTCCCCGCGACGCGGAGAGGCACCCCGCAGGTGCAAACGCACACCCCTTGCTCATTCTTCCAATCCCAAATCCCTGTCCCACCATCAGCCCGTCTCCTCGGGATGGGCAAAAGGGAACGCGCGGGGGTGCCCGGCTCTCTCTCGACTACGACCAAGAAAGAATAATTTCCAAAGTCTTCAACACCCCCGCCCCCCAAGCGAGCTCAACCTCCCCAAAACACAGAGGACGGGGAACACCAAAACACTCGTCCTTCGCTAGGAACATCAAGGCTCCGAAAGGAAATAGCAGGCACGAGAGATACTTCATCTGGGTTTATGACCGAGAGAGAGAGGAGGAAAAAAAAAAAAAAAAAGACACACAAAAACACCCGCGGAGTTCGCTCGCATTTTTTTTTCCTCCCAAATCTCGGCTCGGCTCGCAGACAGGGAAGCTAAGGGATCCGAGGCCGGTGGAAGGCAGCCAGCGGGGACGAGCGAGCCGGGGCAGCCTCCCGGAGTTAGCCGGGAGGACGCGGAGAGGGGCAGGAAGCAGAGGCCGGGGGAGGGCGGGAGGGAAGGCGAGGCTGGAGCGGGGAGCCCGGCAGGCAGTTTGCAAGCGAGAGAGCGCGGAGAGCCGCAGCCGCACGAATCCAGCGCCAACACAAGCCGTACGCAAGCAGCAGCCGAAGCGAGGGCGCGAGCGCGCGTCCCCTGCGCCGTCCGGGGCCAGCAGCCCCGGGCCGGCCCCAAGCACCCCCCAACACCGGCCGCCCCCTAACTCCCCTCCTGCCTCTCCTCCTCCAAAAAAAAAAAAAAAACCCAAAACAACACCAGGGAGGGTGGCCAGCCGGTTCCCTCCAAGACAACAACAACAATAATAATAAATGCATTTAGAAAAAAAAAAAATCTATATCCTAGAGTGGGAGAGACGTGGGACTAATCTTCGGCATTTATTTTAACATCTGACAGCTAGAATAAATAAATAGATACATTTATATCAATAGATACACATAGGAAACTTGGAGCCAAAGCATTTGGCAAGAGCGGAAAAAAAAAGAATTTAAAGGTAAAATCATGATCATGAGCAGCGGCGGCGGCGGCGGCAGCAGCAACAGCGGCGGCGGCGGCAGCAGCAGCAGCGGCGGCAGCAACAGCAATAATCACCTGGTGTCCGGCCTTTCCTAGAAACTTCTTGCATCACCACTTCTAAGAACCCCAGTTCTAAGAATCAACAGAGCTCAATTCTCGGAATTTGAGCTGCGGACTCTACCACTGCTCCGCGGCAGGGGAGGACTCGGTGTCAGCTCCCTGCCATTTCGGCCAGCTCCGCCGCACAAAACATCTTCCAAGCCGCGATTTTCTTCCACCGTCCGGCCTGGTGCAAAGTCCTCACGAGGCCGGCGTCCTCGCTTCGGGGGTTCGAGCTCGAGGTCCGAGGGGCCAGAAAGCGGCCCTCCCTCCCGGGGCCGGCGACGATGGTACGGCCTGCTCCGCCACCGTCACGTGGGCGCCTCTTGTGTGACGTCGGCGTCTTCGCTGTAGCAAAGCTGGGCCTCTGGAATTCTGAGAACTAATTTGCTATTCGGTGACATAAGAGGGGGAGTGCGCTTTGCTTCCTCGGGGTCTGAGGTTGATTCCTGTTCTCCTACCCATAAACTCAGCTCCTCCAGCTCCACACACAAAAGGGGAGCGACAGAGTTTGAACCATTGGAAAATACAGATACGTTGTAGGTTGAGAGGAGCGAGTAAAAAGGGGGCAAAAAAAAAAAAATAAACACCACAGCAGCTCTTTCCAGCTAGAATATTAGGCACCACGAGAAAAATATTTACCCAGCAATTTTCGGTGGGTTCATTTGCTTTGTTTTTATTTGGGACAGGTTCTTCTGGGCTCTATTTTATTTTTTTCCTGTGTGTGTGTGTGTGTGTGTGTGTGTGTGTGTGTGTGGTGGTGGTGGATTGGGATTTTTTTTGCTTGTTGCATTTTGATGGTTTCCGAGTGTTGCTTTTGATTTTTTGCCTTTTGCAAGTTTGTGCTGTTACGTAAATCTTGGGATCCGTCAGCGGTTGGATTTTGTTTGTGTGTTTTTTCTTTCCCTATCTAATCTCTCAAGCGTTTTTAAAGACGTATTCTTTCAGTACTTTACACTGTTGAAAGATCCTTGCATTTTTGCTCATGTGTGACAATCCCAACCCCCACTTTTTCTTTTTCCTGCGGTTACAATTTCTTGCCTCCCCCCTCCCACCCCGCCTATGGACTTTTGCTGAAGAGGGTCTCTGCTCTTGGGAGAAATGGTTAAAGGATTTGTTTGGGTGTGTGTCTTTCCAGGACTGCGAGTGGTGGGTTTACTATCTCTGTTATGGTTCACTCTTAGAGGAAATGTCTTGTCACCAGAAACCTGTGCCTATGGGTATGTGTACCTGCATGTTCTACAAAATTCTGGGAGCCAAAGACGTGCGTGTGCTTTGCTGTTGCTTCAAGTTCTGATTTTTTTTTTCCAGGCGAGTTTCAAGGTCGTTGTAAGAAAAAAAAAAAAAAAAAAAGCAAAACAAAACCTCTGGAGTCTGTGTTTAAGAGATCAGCCCGAGGGAACCGTGCAGGCCTGCCGGGCCAGTGGTGGAGATACTGCGAGTGTGGGAACAGCCTGTACCGCAAGTCCGGGGCGCTGCACCCGGCAAGGTCCTCTTAGCTTGTGAGCTCAGGCAAGGGGAGGGTGGGGGCGGGGGATACCTTCCTTTCTCTTTTTCTTCCTTCCTTTCTTTTTCAAGGCAGAATGCAGTGTGCAGAATCACTTCGCTGTAAGCCTGGGTTTGTTTGTTCACAGCAGCCAGTTTCCCTATTTAAATGTGGGCTGGGGTTTTTTCCCCTCCTACTCATCCCTGAATGAGAGAGACTCTTGTTCTTTTATGTCTCTCTCTTAAAAAGAAGGGTGTGAGGGGAGAAAATAATATTTCAGATTCCTCAAGAATTAACCCAAAATGTTTGGACCAGAAGCAGCTTCCCCAGGCCAAGCCAGCCACTCTGAGCTTTGGGCGGCAGTGTGTTCCCAGAGCTCTTAAAGGTCCCACCAGGGTTCTTGATGCCTTCATTGGAGCCTAAAGATGCTTTCCCCAGTTCGTGTAGCTATCCGCACTTCCCACATCGCGGTTTCTGAGAGAAAGGTGAGCTGGCGTCGTGGGTTTAGTTCAGATCCCTGCCACTGACAGTCCCGTAAGAAGTTTCATCTGCCGCTGAGGGTGCTGTGGTCTCTGCGTCCTGCCGGATGAAAACACTGGGCTCCACACAAGTTCCAAGGAGTTGGTGGTGTTGCCCAAGGGTTGGAGCTCAGGCTGTCTGCCTCAGTGTCCGTCCCTGTGAAATCGCAATATTTTCACTGACTGCCAGATGCATGTCTGCCGCCTCTGCAGAAAGGGCTTCTTGTAAAAGGGATTTTTAAAAAAAGGATAAGTTGGCCTAATCCTGTCACCATTGTTGAAATGAATGCTTGATACCCCCTGCTCTCCATTCCCCAAATCTGGTATTGCCAAGGCAGGTTCAATCTGCCTGAAGGCAGACCATCTACTTTATGATGATGATGATGATGATGATGATGCTGCTGATGGAGTCCCCTTTTCTCTCATCCCACTGGATTCAAACTAACACCCCAGTTTCGCTGAAGTGATTTCCTTTACATGTTTGTACTTTTTTGTGATTCTGTTTTTCTATCTTTTACGAGCTGTAAGGCTTTTAGGATTTCTCAGATGTAGTTATAAGGTTTACAGTGTGAACTGGATAACTCTACCCTGTTGTTGGTCCCATGATAGGCTTGCTTTTATGGTTTTGGGGGGGGATCATTTTCATGTCAAAGCTGCCATGTGCCTCATCCCCCGACCCCCACCCCAACCTTAAACACTCGCTGCCTGCCCCTCTTGTTCCCTTTGCCACTCCACGATTAGCCCCATGGGGGCGCTGCAGAGCAAAGGGAAATCTGCTCCCTCAGGCAGTGGAACCAGCTAGAGTGGGGGCTGGGAAGGAATTCACCCTTTCCAAGTCTCAGCCCTCTTCAGTTTTGTACAGGGAGCCCCTGGAAAGGAAACCCACCAGGGCTGGTTTGCGGATAATTAACCTCATCCACAGGCTTGGTGCCTTATTAGTGTGACTAAGTACCAGTCTCCCCACATTTCTACAGTCATTCCCCCACCCTCCCAAATAGATGTGTTTACATGGAAAGAAAAGGACCAGAACAGGGGGCATAGAGAAAGATGATATTGAAAATATTGTAAAGATAGACACTTTTAGGTGAGTCTTTTTTTTTTCCTCCAGCTGAATGAATGGTGAGAAAATTGGGCACTCACCTCTCACTCACTTTTTCACTTCCTAGGAAAGTAACTTTTTCACATTTTATACAGATTGCATTTCTCCCAGAATGTCCTTCCTCATCCCCCGGTGACTTCTCCCCAAGGCAGACAGTGGGCATCTCCCTGAATCCAGCAGAGCTGTTTAATGGGATTAAAGACAGGCCTGCCTTGAATATGCTCAGATTCTTTTTAAATCATCCTTACAAAGCGAAACTCTGCAGTCTGCTGCACCTCTCTTACTGTCTTTGGGGTACTGTGCATCCATGAGTCTCGTGATGTAATGGTGATTGGCTCTGAATGTTCAGAAAAGAGAATCAGGTCAGGGGCTTTCATCCCATGAGCTGGGCATAGGGAGAGGTCCCTGATCACAACTGCCGGAGAAATAGAAGCTTTGTGATAAAATGAAATCGCTTGGAACTAACATGACATCTATTTCAGGAAGGGAGCAAATTTCACCTCCAGTTCTCCCTCCCTAAACCTTCCCCAGGATTTACCTACAGCTAAAGTCTATCCTGGTTTCCTGCTAAGGGGTTCACAGGAGAAGCTGCCTTTTACCTGTCCCCAGCCCCTGATCCTGGGTGGGTGGTTCAACTCTCCTATCACACGGTTCTAGATTTTAGAACGGGAAGCAATCCTGCAGATCAATCGCTCAATTCCTCTCCGTGTTCTCCTTCTCAGGGAAGGGGCTGGCCCCTCACCAGAGGTGTGGCTGACGCTGTGAACACCACTGAAAAAATGGGTCTGCGGTTCAGATGGCCCTGTGCCATCTTAAAGGATCCGGGTGACCCGACAACCTGGGTTTGGAGGACGGTATCTCGTTTTGTTTGTTTGTTTGTTTGTTTCCCGCAGAACTGGGGCTGTTCTGGGATCTATGTAAACCGGAAACTTGTTCTCAGAGCCAACTCCAAGTTGAGGGAAATAGCACAGCTCTGATGGTCACTCAGGTTCGGTCCTGCCTGCCACTCATTACTGCCGTGCTTAGCCACCATTCTCCGAGGTGTTACATACTCCCTCTGCTATATGTCAAAGCCTACATGTTCAGCTGATTGTAAATAAGCTCCCGAAGAGAAGAATTCGTTTCTTGGTACATTTTAAACTGAGCAGAAAGTTGTGAGATATTAAAAAATAAGTCGACGCTGTCCAGCCTTCTGGAAAGTATCAACATTTAATTTTGATCCATAGGCTACGTACTTTCAGCTTTTGTTACTGAGGTGGTCCCTCCACCCCTCCTTGGAGATCTTTTCAGCCTGGGTTAATTTTCCCCCAAATACCGGTTTTCCCTGCTGTTCTCACCTATTTAGAATGGAAACAAATCTAAGGAGCTTAAAGAGAAATGGGGGAGTAGTGAATCGCTGGGTTTTCACTTCCTATGAAACCTAGCAGGAGGGAAGGGAGCAGCTGGACTCAGGAGGACCCGAGTGTTTGTAAACTCAGGGTGGCTGGCTCACCCGCCCGCCTGCCCAAGCTGCCGTTCTGAGTTGGCTCTGCTACCTAGGGCTAGAAGTGGAAAAACTTGATTTGCGTGTTGTGCCTGCGTTTTGTTGTGTGTGTGTGTGTTTCTTTCCTTGCCCACACCGCCCTCTGTACACCTGACCCGGTAGAAGCCTATCTGAAGCCGACCCGGTGGCAGGGAGGCAGGAAGAACGGAAGAATGTCAGAGGGAGGGAGGGCTCAGTACTTTTCCATTCACATCTCCACAGTGGCTTTTCTTGTTTATTTCAACCTCCACCCTCAGAAACCTTTCAGCTGCCTGAAATCCGAGTCATTAAACTGTTCCCTGAGGTCAGACTACAGTTGCCTGATACATGTTTCCTACATGTCCGTGTCTGTGTCACCTGTATACATTCAGAGAAACACAGACAGACAGAACTCCACAGCGCACGGAGGGAGGGGAAGAAAAAACTGGATTTGTTTCCAAGAGGCCTTGATTTCTCATTACAGCTCCCCCTGGAACACTCTATGGGACACTGAGCAAGGGCCCCGGTGAGGACTCAGTTTCCTCCTATGTGAAAGGAATAACCCAGGGGACTCTACAAGGTGCCAATCTTCTGTAAATTCTGTATCTTTATGTTTACATATATACTTACGTAACTGTAGGGTGGGGGTGAGCCAGAGTGGAAGGAGCACTGGGTCTGTGTGTACCTGGGGTGTGGTAAGGGGTTAAACTGTAAACTTCTAAGTAAAGAAGGTAGTCTTAAAATCCTCACCTCTATCAATTTTTAACCAATTGTAGACCAAAGTCTATGGCTACCCTAAGTGGGTCCAAAAGCCAATTGAAGATTTCAAACACTGTGAGTTAAAGGAGGTAGATTCTAAAATCTTGTACCTTTGATCCCTGACATTCATAATCAGATCTGACAGTTCCCAAGTGTTTTTTTTTTAAATGCCCTTTTGCTCTTTTTTTTCTTCTGTTTATTTTTTTTAAGACTGTCCCAGTGAATGACAGATGGGATATGACACTAGTAAACTAGGTAGTCTTTAAGTCGCTGGGCTCCACGTGGATCAACTCTGTCATAACTTTCACAGAGAAGGAAGGGAGGGAGCTAGAGCAAGAGGTTCCCAGTGAGAAAGAGAGAGGGAACAGCTGCCACTGCACCCAGACTTCACTTGCCCGGAAACATAGGAAGCCGCTGTTGCTGCCACCTGGATCTATCAGGACATACATGACGCCCATGAAGGAGACACTGTCTTTCAGTACTTCTTACACTTGAGGAGGCCTGATTGTCTACAGTGTAAGGCCTGTACCTGACCTTGGCCTTCTCAAAAAATAATGAAATAGGTCTTGGTGGCTTTCCCACCTATCGATTGGCTTAGAATCTCAGGAACATTGGACCCAAGCATAAGTCAGGTTGCAGCCAGTGAAATTACCTCAGAGTAAACTCGTTGAGGGTTAATGTTACAACTAGGAGGTTCCTTAGTCATTATCCGACCCAGTGCTCTTGATTGTGTAACATTGGAGCCCAGACAATACATTTGCAGCAGACATTGACTCACTAAAACAGACTTACACTCAAGACTTTGCTGGCCTACTTTTAAATCCACGATGCCTTCTCCATGGTTTATTGTAGAAATTGTGTTTGAGGTGGTTAACCCTGCAGAAGATGCATTTACTGTGGATTCGTATGCAGAGAAAGCCTCAAATTTAGAATTGATATCTTCACTGAGGCTTTACTTCATAGTAGTAAAGTGACAAGATTAAAGAAAAGAAGAAGCTCATCATACACAAGTTTTGCGTGTGGGTCCCCGTGTAGGACTATGGGTTGGGGTGGTACTATGATTAGATATTGTTAAGCTATAGTCTATGTCAATGTAATTGTGTGTATGTTGGTGTTAAACATGTCAGATTTAAGCTGTATATGGGGACAGACATGTGGCCTGTGTCCCATTCTGAAGTACCTGGGTTTAATAATTGGTGGTTTCTAATCTTTACTTCCTGCTAATGCACACTTTAGGAGGCAGCAGCAATGACTCCAGTGGTTGGGTTCCTGCTACCTACATGGAAGGCCTGGATTGGGATTTTGGTTCCCAGCTTCAGACCCCTTGCCCATCTGAAGACCACTGGAAAATGAATCAGCTGATGAGGATGATTTTGCCTATTGGTTTTCTCTCTCCATCTCTCTGCATGTCAAATAGTTATTTTATATTAAATAAGACATATTGGCCTAGAAGCAAGAATGAGCGATGAGCATGCCTAGTGCCCAGATCTTGGTTTCTAGTACCATTTCCAAGAAATAGTAATCAAGGCAACCTGAGAAAAAACTGAGATAATACCAGGGGTAGGAACGCACAAAATGGTGAATGGGTCATCTGGTAGCACCGGAAAAAAAGAACTTGCAGAAAATAAACACCTAGCTATATTGATAAAAGGCATTTCAAAGAGACACAGGAGCTACCTGGAGAGCTCTCAGTGTCCAAAGCTGGTAGAATTTAGCAGCACAATATTTTACATTATTAGCCAAAGAACACAATAAACATCCATGAGTCCACGCTGCCATACACTAGTTATTGAACATATTACTAGATTGGTCAGCACATTACACATGTGCACTGTCCTCAAGGAACAGGAGTATTAATACCCGCCCCACAAACATAGGCTACTTCCAAAGAGCAGAGTGTGGAAACTCAGCCATGCTGATAAACAAGGCTGTTGATATGTCCCCATGTGATGATGGTTTTGAAATTATTTTTTGTTTTGTTAAAGTATAAGAAATACATCAGACAAACTTTAACTTTTATTTTATAACAAGTTTGAATGGTCTCTTGGGTAGTAGGATTATGGAACAAATCTGAATCAAGGTGAGAAATCCGCAAAAAATGACCCAGGTTTCTCTTGAATCCTGAAGGGTCCTGCTTCCCCTCAGTCATTTTCATAGAATGAATCCAGTGAAATGACAACAATCCGTTTACTCTTTTATCTTACAAAATTGAAAGCAATTTAGTTAATTTTTATATGCCACTCTGAATAATCATCATCAGTAGAACAGTAGTGATGCATCAAATGCAGAAACCTACATAGGGTGAGTGACTCAAGCTATCTCATCCATTGCACATTCAGCATTTCTCTGTGGAAACCCTTCATGGAGACAGGGCCTTCTAAGATTTTGCCATCAGTCCACACAGGACATAATTGAATTTGTAGGTTCCTCATTCAGCTTGGAGGAGCCCGGAGAGCTTCCTAGAATGTCTTCCATTTCACCGCACAATTCCAGAACTGTGGGTGAGACCAGGGTTCTAATTCTGTTCAGAGAAGAATCATGGGCTAGAACTCATGACTCAGTTGAGCCTATATTTATTATCTGTGTTAGGCCTCAGACTTTAAATTCTGAAATCCTGTATCTGCATCTGCCAATTTACCAGTACTGCAGCTGAGAAAAGGTTGGAGAGGGAAATGATTTGCAACGATTCCTAAACTTATGAATGTTGGAGTGGATTTCCATCAGTGATTCTATCAGAATCGCTTATTTTGGTGCATGTATTGTTTTTAGGAAACTGAGGACTACAATTACAGTGAAATATATTGGGATTTCCAAAAGTGCTATGTTAATTTCTAACCATTTGTCAGTTACCAGTGGCTCCTAGCTCTAATATTCTACTTGAGTTTAAGTGCCTCTTTCCTTTTCCCTTTGACCCTTTTCCACCTCTGTCAGCCTCTCTGCCAAGTGGTTAAGAGATCTTTGAACCAACGGTTATGTTCATTTGAATAGCTCTTGG